TATATATATATATATATATATATATATATCTTATTATTATTATTATATAATAACCTCATAACATTGTGCTGTAAAATAAAAAGGTAGTAATGAATAACACAATTAATAATGGTGATAATAATACTTTTAAAGACCAGCAGTAAAATGACAATACTAATATTTATTTATGTCTTTCAAATGTTAAACCATAGACCTTATATTATGTTATATTAATTTGTTATTTATTTTTGTATGTTACTGTTTACATATTATATCAGTTAATAAAATATATTGTATATTTATTTGCAAAAATGTATTTTATTACACACACACACACACACACACACACACATAACACACACACTCTATTCTATTTCTATTCTATCTACTTGTTTTCTTTTATTACACACACACACACACAAACTTAACCCTCTTACACTCTCTATTCTATTTCTATTCTATCTACTTGTTTTCTTTTATTACACACACACACACACAAACTTAACCCTCTTACACTCTCTATTCTATTTCTATTCTATCTACTTGTTTTCTTTTATTACACACACACACACACAAACTTAACCCTCTTATATATATATATATATATATATATATATATATCTTATTATTATTATTATATAATAACCTCATAACATTGTGCTGTAAAATAAAAAGGTAGTAATGAATAACACAATTAATAATGGTGATAATAATACTTTTAAAGACCAGCAGTAAAATGACAATACTAATATTTATTTATGTCTTTCAAATGTTAAACCATAGACCTTATATTATGTTATATTAATTTGTTATTTATTTTTGTATGTTACTGTTTACATATTATATCAGTTAATAAAATATATTGTATATTTATTTGCAAAAATGTATTTTATTACACACACACACACACACACACACACACATACACAGAGACACACACACACTCACACTCTCACACACACACTCACACTCACACACTCTCACACATATATTACATTGTATTTATTTGTAAAATGTTTAGTATATTTTCGATTATATTTGATTATATTTATTTGTATTGATATTTATATATTATATTTATTTGTAAAGTGTATTGCATATTACTGTTTAAATATTATATTTGTAAAATGTATTATGTCACTGATTAAATTCTAGTTATATTAGATTGCATTATATTTGATTCATTTGTAAAATGTATTGTATATTTTATATATTATATATCAATAAGTAAAATGTATTGTATGTTACTGTTTTTATATTATATTTAAATATATTTATTTATAAAGTGTATTGTATTTCACTTTTTACACATTATATTTATTTATAAAATGTGTTGTGTGTTACTGATTATATTACATATATGATATTATATTGTTATATTAGATTAGACTGTATTAGATTGTCAATTTCAATCAGGTATGTCATCAGCAAAAGGACAAAAAAATGAAGGAAAACCTCCCTATTTATGCATGAATTGCATAAATGTATTTGAAAACTCAATGTCTTGCAGTTTGCATTTCACAATTCACGTGGGTCGTACGTTGAAAAATATAAATACGGAATAAAATCACATCCCCATACAATGAATAAACATATATTTTATCGTACAAGTTTTCTGGATTGTGATTGGTCAATCACTGGTAAAACCTGGTCCAGAACAAGATACAGATACAGACGCATGCATGCTCTGGCGATTAAAGCATGTTCCTGTACCTGTAGTGTGGCTAAAACCAGCTGCCATGAGGTTCCCAGATAAGCACCATGACAATGAGCCAAATTCAGCAGCGTCCGCATGCACTGAATGTTCTTCGCTGTGAGCTGACGGACACAGAGATAGAGAGAGAAAGGCCTTGTAATCAACCTGGAAAAACATACTCGGTTACTAACGTAACCTCGGTTCCCTGAGATACGGGAACGAGTACTGCGTCTTGCTTAAGACGCATATGGGAAAAAGCCTTTTTTCTCCTGAACTGAAGCCTATTTCATTCACGCAGTGAAACTGCACGGCCATTGGTTCGTGCAGGGCTTTAAAAAACTAACCAATGGCGCGGCAGCTGAGCTGCACGAGCCTATGGCGACGAAGCCCGCCAGAATGGGCGGGGCATCTGGCTATATAAGCGGGCGCTCGCCACAGGATTCTCAGGTTTACTTCGACTGAAGCGACGACTGAGTCGTGCAGCTACATAGCACGGCCAGCAACGCAGTACTCGTTCCCGTATCTCAGGGAACCGAGGTTACGTTAATAACCGAGTACGTTTCCTTTAGATACTTTACTCGTACTGCGTCTTGCTTAAGACGCATATGGGAACAGTCCAATCACGCCGTGCTAATGTAGTGGAACGACTAAAGGTATAACTTCCATAAGCAGGGACGGTAGGGGGACGAGGCGGATTCAGCCTCCTTGCACCCTTCAGGAAGTGGATGACCGCGCTATTTCTGCCCACTGATTGGCCCTCAACAGGGACGTGAGAGGCCGCTATAGCCACCACATAGATTTTGAGCGTGGATGGGGAGCGACCCTTATCCAGCAGCTCTTGTAGAAAAGACAGCACCTCTGCTAATTCGGAAGTGAGAGGGTCTTTGCCGCGGTTTAAACACCAGGTGGAGAAAAAAGACCACTTTAAGGCATAGAGGCGTCTCGTAGACGGAGCTCTAGCCTCCGAAATTGTGTTTAAGACTCGCTCTGGGAGGCACGAAGGCTCCCGTTGAGCGGCCAGAGGTGCAGGGCCCATAGGTCGGGCCGAGGATGCCATAATGTCCCGTTCGCTTGAGAGAGGAGATCCCGTCTCAGTGGAACAGGCCAAGGGGCCGTTATCAGTAGCTGAGTCAGTTCTGATAGCCACAGCTGGTTCATCCACAGGGGGGCTACCAGGAGAACCCTGTGTTCTTGTTCCCTCACTCACCTGATTGATTACCTGTGGGATCAGAGCGATCGGGGGGAATGCATAAAGAAGGAGGTTGGGCCAATCGTGGGCCAACGCGTCCTTGGTCTTTGAGAATAAATTTGGCAGTGAGAGTTGTCTTCTGAGGCGAAGAGGTCTACCTTGGCCTCGCCGAAGATCTCCCAGATTTTCTGAACCGTTTGCGGATGGAGCGTCCACTCTCCTGAGGGGACATTGCTCCTTGATAACATGTCTGCTCCCCGGTTCAATTTGCCCGGTATATGCGCTGCTGAGCGGGCGAGCGGTACCGATCTTGAAGGAGGTCGCCAGCCTCCGTATGGCCAGAGCTCGTTCGGGCGTGACTTCAGCTTTCATTTGAGCTGAGTCGAAGATTGTTCCCAGGAACGACATTCGTTGGCTGGGAAGCAATGAGCTTTTGGCAAAATTGACCCTGAGTCCCAGGCACTCCAGGTGGCTGAGGAGGAGGGCTCTGTGAGATAT